ACACACACACACACACACACACACACAGGTACACAACCACGTAGACACACGCATGCTCACAAATCAACGTAAAACAAATTCTTGTGTGGCCAAAATTTCAAAGATGAGGTAAGAAAAAAAAAGCAGGTACATTGTATATCATGTCATTAAAGATTGCTATTTTCAACACATCAAAAACGTGTAAGCTCTGTTTGACGAATAGGTGCTTTTTTGGACAGATCTACACTGGGTTCTAAGAGAGAGAGGGGGCGATATTCTATCCTATTTACCCACTGTTTGCTCAAGCTGTTTGCCAGCCTTTCAAAACCACCATCAGAGTAACCTGGGTGCGTGCTGAGTCCTGCGTCTTGATGAAATCTTTTTGTAAAACGTCTCCGCTTGCTCATAAGGAGCTGCCTTTTTCGATGTCACCTCAGCCGTTTTGAATTTCGTTGACTTTTGGGGGTTGTACTGTACGTCTGCACATCGGTTGTCGAGCTGACAATTAAATAGGGCACGATTGCCGCAAGAAGTGAGGGGGGGTTATATCCTAAAGACGCACGGTTATTTCAGGCAGGTCCAGCAGAGGGGCATACAGAGCTGGGTCCTCTCTACAGACCCTATTGAACCATAGAATCAGTGGCTTTGCTTTTAGCTGACGGCTTGATAATGTCTTGGAGCGAACATTCTTCGGGACTTCTGGGAACTCTGTCCTTGCTGCTCATCACGATCGGCTGTGTGCGTGCACAGCATCAGTGTGAGTATGATGGCTAGCACAACTTCTTTGCCTGCATTTACATATTTTTGTTTATAAAAATCCGATGCCAATTGTTTCCCTTAAAAATGCCCCCTGTTTGTTAGAAGAGTTAAATTTGATTTGTTGGCGGCATCCGTCAACTTGTGACTTCGTTTTTGTTTTGTTTTTTCTATCTCTTTGTGGTAAGGAATCATTATGTGTGAGTCCGTTCTTTTGCTTTTTCAGAAAGCCACAAAGTAGTCAACCTTCTATTCAAAGCCCTTGTGGAACACGCATAATACATCATATTTATTTTGGAACTGTTATCGATTTGATAAAAATTCCACCTCTGTCTTTGGGGCCTCTGAGGTTGATGTGCAATTTTGCCCTTGCCTCTGCTTGCCAGCATCATAACATTTCTTTTTGGACTATATTATTGCATCTCTTTACCTGACCAAAATACTGCTGTAATTTTGATTTGGTCCAGAAATCCCGGTGATGTTCTTGATACACTGCAGACTTTTTTGTTAGTTTTTCTTTGTACGTTTGACCTTGCTCATTCTCCCATAGTACCTCAGTTATGCAATTAGATAGATAGAGGATAGATCCCTAGATAAATCGATAGATAGGTAGATGGATAGATGATAGATAGATAGATAGATAGATAGATAGATAGATAGATAGATAGATAGATAGATAAAAATGAGAATATAATCGCTACTTCCGGCTTCTGCCGTCTTATTATACCTTGTAAGAGCAATTATTGCTACCAGTACAAGCTTGCCCAAAGGTGGTATTGTGAAAGAAGGGTACTTTCTATTTTAAAAGTTATGATATATTTGGAACACATTAAAATATTTCAGTGCATTGGTAAATACAAGGACCCTTATTAGGCTTGCCTACTTAATCCCACGAAGCAGCCAAAGCTGCCTTCCAGTAGACATAGTATCTCTGCAAGGAGGGTTGTGTTCAAAACTGTCCTTCTATTATTAGAGTAAATCAATATGAGTAAAAAAAAAAGAAGATATATGCATCGTAAGGGAGACTTGGGACAGGAAGAGTCGCCACGAGAATGGAGAATGGCAGTGTAACTTGTGACGTGGGGATAGTTGTTAAAGAAAGATGTCTTGATCAAATCGACCGCATTAAAGTAGATACGTAGAGCCCGTTTGATGGCATTGCTTTCTAGACCAGTGTTTGTCTACCTTTTTATAGCCCGTGTCGACTTTGTCACCTTTAAAGGATAACATTTTCTTACCGCCTACATAGATGTATTTACAAGCGGGGCATTAACTGTCACTACCCAGGAGATCCCCACTGCAAACCAAAGTTGCCCACAAGAGGGCCATTCTGCCAGGGTTGGCAAGCACGTTAAATATAATTTGACAGGAGGACAAATAGATGCCACTCGCTACTTGCAGCAACATCTTTTAAAATATAAAGTGACACTAATCAGCGCTTGACAGAGATTGTAACTGAAAAGAAACCTGTAGGCATTCTCGCCAGTTTGGCCTAAAACAGCTTGTATAATAAGTGAACCAAAGATTCTCTACTAAAATCTTTCTGTCAACTACCATTTTGTTTGTACAACCAATTGAGGCTGAGAATGTGAAACTGAATCGGCAGCAGGGAAGTACCTCTTTGGAAGTCACGATATGCCTGACTATAATGTGTGTTCAGTACGCACATAGTCTTTTCGTGACATCGGTTTTTACATTCATCGTGTTCTTCCACATCCCGGCCGATGAGTTAGACACGCCTTGTTTGCCTATCGAACAAAACCGGGACCTTGGTTTTCGCAGTTCGCGAGAGGGTGGCAAGGGTAGCATGGTATCATGAAACCTATTATACTAATCTATAGAGTATTTCGAGTCTTACTGAAATCACTTGTGGCATTTCTTTGAGGTCCCTTTCAGCAGGTTTTCTTCAGTTTTAGCCTATAAAATAGGCACATGTGCCGCCATCTACGCACATAATGTAGACCAATACAGGGGGTGGCGCTCTTGTGGCCTAGAGGTTAAGGTGTTCGCCTTTCATTCAATAGGTCCCGGGTTCGAATTCGGATAGCGATACATTTTTTCTCTACAACTTTCTCATTCCACATCTTTTCCTGGCTCTCTAACATTGTTCTGTCGTCTTCTTTCGTCTTCGCTTTCTGCCCATAGCCGCCCCTCACCTCCTTTTCCCACTCTCTAGGCTCCTGACTCGTTCTGCAGCCTTTCTACTGCCAGTCCATGGTTCTTTCTTACTGCTGCTTACCAGCCACACCCTAGATCTTATGATAGGTAAGATCTACACCCAGCTTACTCAGATAAGGGCGAAAAATCTGAGGTCCTGTGTTCAAGTTGGGCTCGTTATAGATCCCTTGGTACTCCAAAATCGATAAGAGTTCGCTTCGCCGCCACAAAAGCAAAAATCAAAATTTCCTACCCACTGAAAATATTTAATTTGTCCTGCGCGCTCAGATGACCTTATGCAGTTGTGAGCGCCGTAAAACACTTACCAAAAAAAAAAAAAGAGACTAATACAGCTCAAGCGCCATTGTCTAAAGTAACTAAGCTGCACCTTCCCTTCAGCAAACGTAAAATATGAAATGCAAGGTGAGGCACCTCGTATAAACGCATAAATTGTGGGTCTATTTTGTTTCTTAAAAATCGAAAAATTACATGTTCATTGTGTACCCAAAATGACAACAATATAATAATATGCCTAATGCACACAGTATTAGCTTAGTTCACCGGAATCGGGAAGCCCGAGGAACACCACACGATCTCAGGCTAATTGTTGCATGTTTGTATAATTCTATAGATTTTAAAAATTCAGGTGATTAGAAAAACAACTACTTCCAATTGTAAGGTCTCTGTGAGATCTCAATTTTTTGCCTCTGGTTGCACAGTGACAAAAACATTTTCACTTGGGCCTGACAACATAACATACATAGTTTGGGTACCTAGAAAGAGGTAAACCAAATCATTACCGGATGTCAGTATGCCAGATGCATACTAGGCCAAATTAGGTAACCCCGGACGATGCCATTTTAAAACACAATTCTGTATGGATGTTATTGTAAAGCATGGCCACAAATTAAATGTAAATTTACAGTTTCCAAAGCACTTAAATTTTGAAAGTGACTGATCGTTTGCGGCCATTTTCTCGGGTAACTTACCTTTGATCCCTGGTGACCCCACCTCCATCAATTGCAAATAACCCGACATTTATTCAAGATATACGGATATATAGATTTAAAAATTAAAAGCTAGGCAAATGGACAAGCCTTAAGTTTACACCAATAACTTCGTATGCCAACAAAATTATTTTTAAAAATGATGAGCACCTAATTTCAATGTGTCGTGACAAATGTAAGATAAAGTGAGAGGCCCAACAAAAAAGTAAACTCCTGGGTATCAGGGTATTAACCGATTTCAATCCACTGCTACCTGTAGTCGGAGTCATTTTCAGAGCCAGACACATGAGGACTGCATCTTAAAGGCTGGATCTTCGGGTGAGTGCTATGTCACCCAGAAATGTATTACGTTGCACACGTGGATTACATAATATGAAATCATTCTTTTCCACTAAATCATTGCGATACAAGAGTGGAAATGCCACATGAGACAGGAACATGTATGGTACAGTGTTATATGAACACTTTAAGGTCATTTTAGGAGGGGGATTACCATTCAACGTCAATCTCTGATTGAAGGAAGCCAAGCAACGCTGGATTCGAACAAACGATAACACCATCGTAGTCCAACATAACGTCAACAGAGCATAAGGCGGGTCACAAAAGTACATTATCGAACATTGATAACGAAACCACTGAATACGCCTTCCTATTGTCTGTCTGTTAAGCCTTTAAAAAGACAAGGAAACGGTTTATTCCGCATGAGATGAAAAAAACAAAACAAGTGAGAATATTTATTTATTCTCTATTGAATGCATATTATACACATGTACACGTTTAGAAGAAAAAAAATCTCGCTTAGAGAAGAGGGTGTTGTTAATATCTGGAAGTGAGAAACATTACGCATGACAAGAAACCCAGGAGTTTCGATGCAAGTACTTTTAACTTTCAAATAATGAGACTTTTGAAAATGATCTAGATTAAATCTTCTCCACGCATGACCGTTCACATACGTCTGTGGTATTGTGGTTATAGGGCGCTTCACCATCGCACACAAAAGACCTGAAAGTTTGTATCGTGTAGGTCTGTCTGTCTGCTGAGACGATGTATCTCTCTTAGTCCAGGTTGGCCCAACCTCCTAGATGTTCTAGATTGTGTCAATGGGGGCATTAAAACACCTACATGTGAAGAATAAATAAGCTTGATACTTCAGTAGCTTCTATAAAATATGCTCCCTAGAAGGAAAGACTGTTAGTAAGAATTTAAATCTTTAAAAGTAATTTAATTCGAAGCCATGAACATAGTTGAAGAGTTGAAGTCCATATATTCAATGTACCTCCCCCCTTTAAAAAGCCCAAACAAAGCAAACCAACCATTACAAAAACAACAACAACAACAGTAAACAACAACAGTATCTCCTCGAGGAGGATTCAGGGAGTTTGGACTTCCTCACCCTCTACCGAAGGGCAGGCGGAGCCCCTGGCGAAGAGCACGCTCTTCGAGCTCCGAACATTTCTAACGGATAGGCTACCACACGCACACATGCAGCAACAATAACTACAAACAACAACCACAAACAACAACTACAACAACAACAGCGAAAACAACAAAACGAAACAACCCAAAGTAAAACAAAGCAAAATACAAACTGGAAGCCAAAACATAAAACACCAACAGCAAAAAAACGGACCGTTACCAACAAACAAACAAAAAATATCCCCAAACAACAACAAGCAAGTCGCTAACTTTTCAGCTAGATCTAGGTGACTGTTCGTTTGTTTTTGTCTAATCAATAACGAAGTCGCCCAGATAGAGTTGTTGACTCTGCACTGACCTATTAACGTTGATTCGGTCATCTCCCACACGTATCTGGTGTTTTTCTTTTTATTCCCACATT